CCGTAATGAACGTATGGCTGGCTGTATGTCTGTACTGTTACCTGAATGAACGTATGGCTGGCTGTATGTCTGTACTGTTACCGTAATGAACGTATGGCTGGCTGTATGTCTGTACTGTTACCTGAATGAACGCATGGCTGGCTGTATGTCTGCATTGTTACCTGAATGAACGTATGGCTGGCTGTATGTCTGTACTGTTACCTGAATGAACGCATGGCTGGCTGTATGTCTGCATTGTTACCTGAATGAACGTATGGCTGGCTGTATGTCTGTACTGTTACCTGAATGAACGTATGGCTGGCTGTATGTCTGTACTGTTACCGTAATGAACGTATGGCTGGCTGTATGTCTGCACTGTTACCTGAATGAACGTATGGCTGGCTGTATGTCTGTACTGTTACCGTAATGAACGTATGGCTGGCTGTATGTCTGCACTGTTACCTGAATGAACGCACGGCTGGCTGTATGACTGCATTGTTACCTGAATGAACGTATGGCTGGCTGTATGTCTGCATTGTTACCTGAATGAACGTATGGCTGGCTGTATGTCTGTACTGTTACCTGAATGAACGCATGGCTGGCTGTATGTCTGCATTGTTACCTGAATGAACGTATGGCTGGCTGAATGTATGTACTGTTACCTGAATGAACGTATGGCTGGCTGTATGTATGCACTGTTACCTGAATGAACGTATGGCTGGCTGTATGTCTGCATTGTTACCTGAATGAACTGCACCAGTGTAAACCGTGACTGTGCATCACGATAAAACCACAGCCAAGCCCTCACGTTCCATGTTTACTTACAGTATTTACTCACAGTACATTTGCTCATGTGCAAAAACATATTCACGATGACAGGAAGACACGTCCAGCGTGACTTGCAATTTGAACAATTTGTAGTTTATTTATTCAAGGAAGAGAGAGAGGGTAATGCATTCTATGTTAATTCAGTCTGGAGACCATCGCATGTTATCTATAATACACAGCGGAATGTCTAATTGTACACGTGTCAGAGGAGGACATTTGCATTAAATCTATAACGAGATGAGGAAGCATAAAATCTTTGACAAATACATTGTACATCATAAGAATTACAAATCAACGTTAAACTGTTACAATTACATAATTCACACACTTGCAGTTTTCTTTGGTTTGCCAAATGTATCTTTATGTTTCTATTTTAATTATTGTGAACTACGTCCAAAACGAGCCAGGGCTACTCTGAAGTTTGAAACAGCTATAAAGACAAGAGGTTAGCTCTTTGTGTTCTGGTATCCAGACAAACTAGTACGTGTTTTATGTACAACTGGTGTTTTCACTTTTTTAGCCTCCCTCCAGTGTACACCTGAGATCAAAGGTCATGTAAACGGCAGGTGATCCGATTCTAACCTACATTGGATATTTCAGTCAGAACAATGTAAACAACCCTACCAAAACAATGGTGTAGTCAACAACCATGGTTCCTCCTGGACTTCTGAAAGTGCACATCAGTCAGCCAAAATGACCATTACATAGTCTCTCTGCCTTATTATCATATATACAATCTTGCGCTGTTCCTGTGCATGCATTAAATGCCTGTCAGTATATACATCACGAATCATTAGGAGGGAATCTAATAGTGAATCTAGTATATGGGTAATTTCACACTTTGTCCTTTATTTACATGTATACAAATCACCTGTGCATCATTGCCTATATCATATACAGACTTCTCACTATGTATAAACATTGCATTCATACACTGCGCTGTGACCAGAGATAGTTTGAGATTTTGTCCCTTGAGGAAACATTTATTTATCATATACATCTCATTATCATTGCATCGTGCAACATGTGGGGCTTGTATTCAACCCGTCCTCTTTGCTTGCATGACATCACAATCAAGCCGAACAAGATACTGTCTGACTCACACGCAAATAGTCCCAGGATTAAATATGTGATGTAGGTAGAAATGTGCGTCCTGACTAGACCCCACTTTGATTGACAGGATCTTTGGTGACTCATGGATTAACAAGCAAAAGCAATGGTGTGCTCCAAGGGACAAATCCGCACCAGCTTGCTGTGAAGAGAGACGGTTTCTTAATGAAGGTAAGTATTTTATTCGACAATCAATATAGCTCCAATTCAAACCTTATTTAGTATAATGTAATAAAACTACTGAAGATTTAGTGGGTGAGTTTAGTTTTACGCCGCACTCAGCAATATTCCAGCTATATGGCGGAAACTACTGAAGAACATCATCTGTATATCATGTCTAAGGGTTTGCTATTGGTATTTGTTTTCATGTGGTACAAGTAGAATGTGCTATTGATCAATTGGCCTTTTTCTGTGCATGTTGGGTACTGTTAGAATGCGGTTATCTTGCTAGCCACACGCCATAAGATATATATAACTCACATCTTATTTCAAAAGTTTCAGATGTCTGAGTTATTGTACACACTTGTTTCCAGATGTGTACGCTGCACAGATTTAAATGTGTTATGATGAAAATGATGGTGACACTGTGCCCCTCAAACAACACCCCTGCCAGAAGAATCCATTCAAGCCTTAAGCCCTGAAGAAGGAAGTTCCAAACCAATCCCAAATATGCGTTCTAACTAATAAAGTTATTGAAAAACATTGATTGTATAGAACGCAACCATCATGTTTCATTTGCCAAAATGCAACTAAAAACATTTGTACGTGTTTTGCACCAATTTTGTGCAAAATTGTGATTATTGTCCCATGCACCAGCACTTTTCTGACAGAGATTATAAAACCTGTTTGTCGTGATGACTGAACAATCACTTGACAGAAATCTCACGAGGAAATGCCAAGATTGACGTCGGCGCAACGAGAACGGGCCAAGGGAATGACACAAATGGGTGCTTTCAACAGCGATTTTGCAAGGACATTGGGTTGCACAAGACAAACCATAATTCAGCTGTTTAACCGTTTCAGTACGACAGGCCAGACATGTGATCGACCCAGAAGTGGACGTTCCAGAGTCACAACACCCCAAGAAGATCGCTATCTGCGGGTTATTCACCTACGCAACTGGATGTTGACGGTGACGTCATCAGCAGCCACATCATTGGGTCATCGCGTAAGCCGATTCACAGTGACAAGACGACTTCGTCCTGCTGGCATGTATGGGCCTACCGACCGCTGCGTGGAATGGCCTTGACCTTCCAGCATCGTAGGAACCGTCTGCAGTGGTCATCACCTCATCGCTGTTTCTTGTTACAATGTCATTTTGCTGATAAGACACGTGTATTGCAGTTTGCTTCAACATACATTTTCCATTTCATCAAAAGGTTTTGTTATTTTTATCTTATTGGAAGAAACACAACCTGTGTACTTTCTTTTGCACATCAGTTTATGATGTTTTTGCAATAACTTTCCAATCCCCCCAAGTCTGCAAAGTTGAACCTATCAGTGAGGTATGCACAATTATAGATAAACGGAGGCTGAAAAGAAACGCCACAAAATGTGTATGTGCATTCATTCATTCATTCATCATTCATTCATTCATTCAAGGAACACATATCTCGAATGCAACACATATATTAACCAGGTGATAATAACTTAGAAGAAAAGCACGAGTTGCACCATTTTATCGAATAAACCCAATTTATTCACTTACGTGTGGGGTGTGCAGAAAACTAACACGCGCAGAACTGTAGTTTTCTTTTGTGCCGTCAGACTGGCGCAACGAACATTCGCAGAGCATAGATGTGCGAGGTGCACTATTGCCAAACGGGTAGGCTCTTGTCACAAGGTGTAAGGGAGACTACTCTTGTCGCCGTCTCGTGGCTGAAAATGGCTGATTGGTTGATTGGTTGAGTTGTCCACCATCTTGCCGAGGTAAAGGAAAGGGACATATCACATGGTTATTTTCACGTGAGAAGATTTATAAAAGGGTTGGGTTCTTAGTAACCGAGTAGAGTATTTGAAAAGGCCCACATCCACTTAAACTTGGACTAGACTGGGTGTACAAAATGTATTTCTCCGTCACTGCACACTGTTTTTTAACTCGAATGTTGGCTACTATTCCTATAGCCATGTCAAATGTCTGTCATATTGGCATGATTGTCATAATTTCATAATTTCTTAGACTGGCATTCTTAACATATGGGTGAAGCGTTCATCATTGTCTGTGGAATTATTGTCCCTAATGACTGAAGTAATATTTGTATAACTTGAATAAGTTACGGTATATATTACTTAGGTCACCGCTGTATTCTAAGAGTGTTATAAGGAGAAATAACTGCGTCTCTAATGATGGTTGTTGATAAATACGTGGACTTCCAAAATTTGTGTAATTGAATTGAATTGAATTTTAAATAAGGGGGAACATTATTGCTGAATGTCTTCTCAGAGATGGACAATCTCTTTCGTCTTATATATGTCCGGAAAATTATAATGGCTCCAGGAACAACTATTTTGCAGTATAGTTGCCATTGTAATACATGTATTGTGAATATTAAGGCTATCTGGTCATTCATATATTATGATGTTGTATTTATATGGGTTTGAAGTATGTAAAAATGTAAGCTTGTTAGTGTAACTGCACATAAATATACCAAACTGGATGATTGTAAATCAACACAGCGTGGTGTTTGCCGTGCTTTTTCTTGTTTTGAGTTGGGTGAGCTACTGGAGGTCACCGGAATTGACCCTTACACAAATGTCCTCAAGAGGGAAACTCAAACCCAGTCCTTCGTGTGACGAACAATCTGCACAACCCAAAGCCAACCCACCCACTGCCCCTTTATCACTACACACCCATGAAGATCCGGGTTAGAACTGGTCTTCACTAGTCCATGCTTGTCGTACGAGGCGACTAACAGGATCGGGTGGTCAGGCTAACATGGCTGACACATGTCATCGTATGCCAGTTGAAAGATGGCGTTAAACAAAAACAGAACAAACTTTAATCACTACACTCTAAATAGAAACATGTATCCCTCGACTGCAGTGTTCGCTGACAATATCCCCAGTGAGCTCAAAACACATGCTATTACCAAATGCTTTATTTACGTTTCTACATCAGCTACCGACCAGCTATCATTCTGCTGGGATTAAGTTCGGAGACAAGATCATGTTTTCAGCTACATCTGCAAAACCAGGTATGTTATTAATCAGAGATTTAAACGTAAAAAGTTGCATGTGGTAAAATGCATTTACGGTGGCAGACAGTGTCTTTTTTGAACCGTCTAAAGCATATTAAGTATTTTTTCTGCGTATCCTTCAACAATTTATCAGTTTTAGATCGGCCCCTTACGGATGAATAAGGGTCATCCTTATGTACACCTGATATCGTCTGGCTTCAGTTCGTCCACCTCGGCACAATGGATTTTGTCAAGGGGGCTCACCCTGTTTTTCGGGTTGCCACAGTACATGTCCTTGAAACGCTGTAAAGAGAAGAATAGTGAGTGAGTGAGTGAAATGAATATCCAATGTACTTAAGTAGTATATGGTGTCGGTGCTCAATGTGTGATTAGATCCGACATCAACACAGGCTATAGGCCTTTAATCAGTGTGTAACTAGAAAATGTGTGTGAGTCATTAAAATGTGTGTCACCCCGGCTTAAACGTACACATGACTCCCACTATGAGTTTGATATAACCATAACTTAATTTGTATATGAACAATAACACTGGTAACCGCTTCATAAAATAATAACATTTTCCGTTTGAAATCTATTCGTATTGTCAAACTTTGTTAGATCCGGAATTAACTGTGTATTTTCTAATTTACTTACAATGTACTGAATCGATAGGAAGTCTATAGTGCTAAAATCTGAAAAAAAGATTGTTAGAAAATAAGTGAATTTGTTTTCGTTTTTATTCCAGCAAAATAATGGATGATTTATGTCACTTTCAATAAGAAAATGATAATAGATGTCAATAAGAATTTCCGATAAACACGAGATTGATACCATGAGCAGTGGCTTAACGATAGCACATGATCAGGCAACTCCCAAATAATTCCTTTCATGCGATCCTCATTAAACGGTGCATACATGCTGTTTAAGGCGGAAACGGAACTGATAAGAACGGGTAACTCGACTCGTGCTACAAACGATGGCTGTAACACACGGAGTGTTTTTGTAGGCCTTCAGATCCATGTATTTATATGTATTGTTTCAGGTTTTGCACCTTGAATCAAATCAAATTATTTTTTTCCACTAGTCATTTCCGCCATGAGTTTCACTAGCACACCAATATGACGTTTTGAATATGACACCTGTCAGTTCAGATCAGTATTCCGACGCTGTAAGACTGAACAGTGCGATCAACTAAAATTATTGTGGATAAAGATGTCAACGTGATAGTTATACTGAACACCAAATAGCCCTCCCCTCTACAGAGAGAGAGAGAGAGAGAGAGAGAGAGAGAGAGAGAGAGAGAGAGAGAGAGAGAGAGAGAGAGAGAGAGAGAGAGAGAGAGAGAGAGAGAGAGAGAGAGAGAGGTAAAATACCCAGTGGATAGTCACATATAAGACAAATGTATCTTACTGAATCCATTAAAGTCGTCCGCATTCACAACGCCGTTTTTGTCGCCGTCGTAGAGACTGTACATGAATCGGCCATACTGCTCCGAGTAGCCATAACGACACACCCACCTGATCATGACTTCCCATTCTTTCAAGGTGCAAAGGTCATCTGTTGGTTAATCATCATAATCGTTAGTGTGTTTTAAAGATTTTCATGTTTAGAAAACTGGAACATTTAAAATGTATACTCTTTTCAAAGACACAAGTGTCGTATCTTCATTACCTATTATAATTGTACAACTTTTTTTATACCTTGAAAAAAAACATATTTGAATTGTGACAGTATTATGACTATATACATAATATGTGTTTTGCACATGAATCCTTGGTACTTGATCACGTCATATATAAACAGGACTACAAAGAACGCGTGTAAACGTTATCCATAACTCCACTTCTCTTTTCCCAGAGGGATTTGAGGTACCCTTACAATTGGCTGTTCTTTCTGTGATTCCAAAAATGGTTTTTTTTTATGAAATCTCTGTCCCTCTACCCGATTATCAAATGATTGCGTCGCTAAACAGAACTTACCGTCGTAGCTGAAATCTAAGATTTGTTTGTGGACGTCTCTGAAGTCAACTCTGCCGTCTTCGTCGTAGTCGTTGTCCACCACAGCAGCACAGAACTTCCCCACTAACTTGTCAGGAGGGTTGCAGTTGTACATCAGGTTAAACCAGTAACTTCAAGAAACAGGAGAGAGTGAATGAGTGAAAGAAGGAATACCAGTGTAGAGTGAGTGAGTGAGTGAGTGAGTTTAGTTTTACGCCGCACTCAGCAATATTCCACCTATATGGCGGTGGTCTGTAAATAATCCAGTCTGGACCAGACAATCCAGTGATCAACAGCATGACCATCGATCTACGCAATTGAGAACCGATGACATGTGTCAACCAAGTCAGCGAGCCTTACCACCCGATCCCGTTAGTCGCCTCTTACGAAAGCATGGGTTACTGAAGATCAATATTCTAACCCGGACCTTCACGGGTCACCAGTGTAGACAACATATGGCATTTGATTTCATAGTAAGTTGGTATAGTTTGTTTTGTTTCTTGTTGACGTTGCAGTATTCCAGCCTTGACCAGAAAATCCCGTGACTGATATGATGGGCATTGATCCAACCCGTGGGAGTTTATTGGTCTGCAGTCAAAGCACTATGCTAACATTCCAAACCAGACGGTGACCTAAGTCGCTTTTCCCGAATAGATTTTAGATAAGTGTTTTTCAAGAATACTTTACAATTTTACGGCCCTGGTGAATGTCTTGATATACCTGGAGAAACCACAGGTCCCACAGAAGAGGATGGCGAAGACGGCAAGTCTGTGGGCAAGCATTCTGCAAACCAAACCCGACTCAGTACATATAAACGATATGCTGTCAATAGTCTTTAAAGTACCGACCTGGGCATGTTACTGCGTTTTTTGCGTGCAGCAAAGAAGAGGTCGATATCAGAAACATCAGTCAAAAAAGGTACACACATAATCATCCTGTATAATTTCGCAGTTGCCAGAACAAATTTCTAGGAAACTAGCCACGGTGTGTTCGAGTGAAATCTCATTAGTCAAACTTATCACATCATTATTGATATTGACACACTACAGAGGAGAATGTAAAAAGTTAAAAAAAACTTGAGAGGAAAGAAACGGGATTATTTTTAAAGTATAAACTAACTGTCCAAATTGTAATTGTATTAAAAGTTACTGTCTAGGTGAGTAAGTGAGTTTAGTTTTATGGCGCTTGTAGCAATATTCCAGCAATTTTCCAGTTGGGGACAACAGGAATGGGCTTCAATACTGTCTATACTAGAGTAATATAGTTACAGTGTAAACTCACGGTATAAATAGTAGAAAACAAATGTATCAATAGTATGAAAAATGTCTCATTTCAATCACAAAAAAATGAACAACACTGCTTTTAAACAAAATCTTACACTCTGTAAATCGATTTATGTAGCTGACATGATGTTTGCTTATGAGAATTCATACAACAGTAACTAAAACTATCATAGTAACTTTAATGTTCAGCGAATAGTGAGGGTGGCAACATTATATGTCCTACAAATGAAAATCCAAATAGTTATTCATCAATACTACTGAAGCAAAGAACGGTTGGTTAGCCTAGTGGTGAAAGCGTTCGCTCGTCACGCAGAAGACCCGGGTTCGATTCTCCACATGGGCACAATGTGTGAAGCCCATTTCTGGTGTTCCCCGCCGTGATATTGCTGGAATATTGGTAAAAGCGGCGTAAAACTAAACTCACTCACTCACTGAAGCAATATTAAGTAACATACTTCAGTACAATGCGAAAAAGTACGAACCTGTGTGAATGCTTTGGATAACGACTCGAGATGTGGCCAGATTCGTTTCCGACTGTTCAGTCTGTGTGATAGCTCCGCCCCAGTTGGACAAAGACGCAAGGAGCTTTGGCAGGTGAGGGTACCGACGAGGGGTATCCATATTTTGAAAACTGATGTTTACAATAGCGCGCGTTGGTGGACAGAAGTGATGTTGCCTTGCTATGATTACTTTTATGGGAATTATATTTGTCACTATTATATACTAGGTGTACAAATACACACAATACTCAAGATACCAGACAAAATAATGTCACTGTGTGTGTTTACATGCCTGCGTGTGTGAGTGAGTGATCTTACCAATTGATTGATCCAGGTGGCTTATTTTTGTGTGCATCCAAGCATTCATATAACTGATGAATGTGTAAGTATATACTGGTTGCGTTCTACAAAATAAAGTTGACAACTATATACCTGAAACTGTTACTCCCCAAACTCAGAAGGAACACATGTACAGTGAGTTTAGTTTTACGCCGCACTCAGCAATATTCCAGCTATATGGCGGCGGTCTGTTAATAATCGAGTCTGGACCAGACAATCCAGTGATGAACATCATTAGCATCGATCTGCGCAATTGGGAACCGATGACATGTGTCAACCAAGCCAGCGAGCCTGACCACCCGATCCCGTTGGTCGCCTCTTACGACAAGCATGGGTTACTGAAGATCAAAATTTTAACCCGGACCTTCACGGGTGAACATATGTACAAAAGCCAAAGAAAGGTTGGCTAAAGAGATCTCGGATGATTACACTGTGGCTGTAGCTTTTGTACAGCTGGACAGACGTGTTCTTGTCATGGGTACCTTTCTGTTCCTTACAAACACTGAGGGGGCGGTGGGGTGGTCTAGTGGTTAAAGCGTTCGCTCGTCATCACGCCGAAGACCCGGGTTCGATTCCAGACATGGGTACAATGTGTGAAGCCCATTTCTGGTGTCCCCCGCCGTGATATTGCTGGAATATTGCTAAAAGTGGCGTAAAACCAAACTCACTCACTCCAAACACTGTGCGTTTTGTACTTGGTTGCATATTCATAACGTCGGTGATGGGCTTCATAACCCCGGAGAGACTGCTATCATGAACATAGTCCTCCCGCTCCCCCAACAAACCATCGAAGTCATTAAAAATCTACAACCTGAATGAGAGAGTGAATATTTAAATTACTGCATTGTTAGCGATATCACGCCTGTATGACCGCATGTTGGTATGACCAAATGGTTGTCTATATGACCGCATGTTGGTATGACCGAATGTTTGCCTATATGACCTCATGTTAGTATGACCGCATGTTAGTATGACAGAATGGTTGTCTATATGACCGAATGGTTGTCTATATGACCTCATGTTGGTATGACCGAATGGTTGTCTATATGACCGCATGTTAGTATGACCAAATGGTTGTCTATATGACCGCATGTTAGTATGACCGAATGGTTGTCTGTTTGACCGCATGTTGGTATGACCGAATGGTTGTCTATATGACCGCATGTCGGTATGACCGAATGGTTGTCTATATGACCGCATGTTGGTATGACCGAATGGTTGTCTATATGACCGCATGGTTGAAGGTATGACTGCATATTGTATTGCATGACTTCATGGATTCCTGGATACTTGAACTGTGGTCGATCATACAGCTATCTGTATAACTGCATGGTTCTTCTGTGTGACCTCAATGTGCCTGCATAAGCTCAAGGTTGTCTCTATTGCACAGTCATCCGATTTTAAATACATTCTTGTCTGTGTGGATGCATAGGTATTTGTATGAGTGTATCAGTCTGTTTATCTTCGAGATAGTGAATAAGTGTGCAAGTGTTTGTGGTCGTATAGTTTCAGTGACTATGTGGTTGCCCTGTAAAGTGTGTCTTAAAGTGAGTGAGTGAGTTTAGTTTTACGCCGCTTTTAGCAATATTCCAGCAATATCACGGCGGGGGACACCAGAAATGGGCTTCACACATTTTATCCATGTGGGGAATCGAACCCGGGTCTTCGGCGTGACTAGCGAACGCTTTACCCACTAAGCTACCCCACCGTCCTTTGCTTCAGTAGCATTGATGAATAACTATTTGGATTTTCATTTGTAGGACATATAATGTTGCCACCCTCACTATTCGCTGAACTTTAATTACTAAAGTTACTATGATAGTTTTAGTTACTATTGTATGAATTCTCATAAGCAAACATCATGTCAGCTACATATATCGATTTACAGAGTCAAGGATTTTGTTTAAAAGCAGTGTTGTTCATTTAATGTGATTGAAATGAGACATATGCCATACTGTCTTAGAACTACATTGCGTATTGCATTGTAGTTATCCAATAAATATATGCTTCTTAAGAATGACAACAGTGAGTGGTTGCAAAGTGTGGAATGCACACGTGTTATTCTGAATTAATGTTTCATATTTGATGTAGTGACTAGCATGACAGCCCCTAACTGGTCGAACAGCGTTTAGTGACGTTTGCCACACGTGGTGATTCTTGAGATCTCTTGTACACTAGCGCACTGGTTGTGCATTATGCAATATGCCAATATGCGTCTATCGAGATCACAAACTATACTAGTGTATACCGTCACTGCGCATCACGACATACATGCATGCTCCTATTGGGAAAAAAACATGCCAACCCGTTTTTACTGACAGTACGTTAGTACATAAATATTTAGGTTGATAGAAAGAAAGGTCCAGTGTTCTGGTGCCCTAAATGACTTGCAGTTTGAGAAAGTACCTAGGACGGGGAAAATGCTGACAGCGAACCAACTATGCAGGTTAATAGTGGGTCGTGTTTACCTAATTTGTGAGAAGAAGATGCACTCCTGCCTTTAAAATCACTATAGCGTTTCCTCAAATCAACATAATTTGTTGTCATAACAGGTTCCGTTGCAGTATACCAGTGGTATTGAAAACATGAAGTTATAATACGTGCAATACAATAAGGATCTTGAATTGCAATAACATTTTGTAATGACGTACGGATGCGCGACCTGTCAGGATCTCCTATTTGATTGACGTGTTGAGTTTGCTGACTAACGGGTCAACATGCAACGCAGTGGTTTGTCCAAGAGACAACCCGATCGCGGCATACCAAAAGACGTTAAAATATGGTACTTGTTGGTCCCTGCCTGGCGCTCGGCATTAATGGGTACAACAAGGACTGGTCGGCTCGGAGTCAGTATAATGTGTCTGTCATACTTCACTGTGGCATGGTATCTCATTCGGCTAGCACTATAAAACCAGCTTCTGTCTGGGCTAGTACAAGCAGCCGCACATACACATACACACGCATGCACGTCGTCATATGAGCGTAATATTCTCAAGCACGACGTAAATACCCAATTTCACCTCACCTCACTTCCAAGAGACAAACCCACCCGGAATAGCTTTAAAGTTGCTCGGGGGAAGAGTTCAGAATAAAGGTGAGCTGTTTCTTTGGCGACAGTCGAAATGTGGTATGGTATACCGAATAATTAAAGCTGTATCATGTAAACATACAGATACTAATCAATGTGAGTTACAAAGAATGTCTTGTAATGATTGTTTTGACCTGGTCGGTTTTTTACATGGTACATTTAGAATATGCGATTTATATATTGTATGCTTGAAGATCTCTTTTTGTGCATTTTCGGGAAAATTGTACTTGAGAAAATTGAAATGTGCTTGAGAAAATTAATATGCCCAAACTTGGTAAAACATATTTTCGTTTGTTTTGGATTGTGAAATTCACATAAATATACTGGTTTGTGTATTCTGCACTGTTTTTGTTTTTTTTGGCGCTCCTAAATAAAAATCCTTCCGTTAAATAACTAAGTTCGTGTAAATCTACTCACACCTATCTACCCACGGATGATGTTCAGAACGTTGTTGTGTCTGGCCCTATTCGTTGTCTCTACATCAGCCTCGGGAATCAGGTTCAGCAACAACAAGAATACAGAATGCGGTTCCTTCCAAATTCAACAATCGGGCCGGTGGGAACTAAAAAATAGTATTTCAGTCTTGCAATCTCAATCGGCCTTGAAGTAGTTGATATGGACTAAGTGTCTGATATGGACTGAGTGAGTGAGTTTACTTTTACGCCGAACTTAGCAATATTCCAGCTATATGGCGGTGGTCTGTAAATAATCGTGTCTGGACCAGACAATCCAGTGATCAACAGCATGAGCATCGATCTACGCAACTGGGAACCGATGACCACCCGATCCCGTTAGTCGCCTCTTACGACAAGCATAGGTTACTGAAGATCAATTCTGACCCGGATCTTCAAGGGTCGCGAATCTCGAGAATACGTGAATCCTCGAGAATAAAGAATAACGAGTATATGAGCCAGTAGATGATAATATGAGCAGTGGTCAAAGCATTTGGTGTACGTCAACACAGTCCACGGGTCCAATGTAGAAAAGGCAGAGTTGATTATAATCAGTAAGTCGCAGAGTGGCGATATCCAGCAACGTTGAGACAACAAGCAATGTTTTTGTGGGCCTCAATACCTGGTTTCATTAGGTTTTTCCTCATATGTGTTGCAGTTTTGTCATTTTAAAATTGTACTTATAAACAAATTATTTAATAAATATTATAATATGATAAGTCTGACTCTGTGACTCTGTATTCACTCAGACCCACCAACGAGTTCATGACTGATGTTGACACGCGTCAAGTTCTGGATGACCTCAAGCTCTCGACATCAACAAAGATGGCCGCCTCACTTCCACCGAGATGAACGACCGTACTTTTGCTGCCGTCTTCGACAGTTCTCTTGAACGTTTAAGTATTGATACAGAAGTTATTCAGAATCACGACCTTGCTCAACCTTAGCTTGACAATAGTACCTGGAGGGACTCCAGAAGCCCAAGCGCTCCTTTGTTGTGCAAGGATCAGACATGAACACATACTGCAGTTATGTTCAAGTTTCTGTTGGGTCAGTGATGTATCTGCGACAGCAGATTTGTCGTTTAACGGAAGAAATGTCTTGCCCTGACTTAACTATATTACGCACAGTGACAAAGCCCGAAAGCCTAACTTCCTAAATGAGAAGGCGAAAACCCTATGTA